ACCCCCCCCAAACATGCTCTCTGCGACCCCTGTGACTGGCCTGCCCTGTGCCACTTGCTAAAATCGCTACCCAGTGGATAAAACCCTCCAATGTCCCTCTCCCCCCCCATACCTGGGTCTGGGTGCATCAACTGGACACACCACCCCATCCCCACCCCCCCTCCTCAACCCCTCCTGTACCCCCCCCCAACCCCGCCCCCCCCCCCACCACCCCGGTCCCACTCCCCCACTGACCCCAGGGGAATCACTATCACCCCTGGGGGTCCTCCATCACTCCCAATGTGATAACCCTCCCCACCCGATACCCCAGGCCCCATCTCCCTCGCCCCCCCAACCCACACCCACCCACCACTCAACGTCAGACCCTCTCCCTCACCCACCCCCCCTCCCACCCCCCCCTCCCCCCCCCCCACCCCCATTATAGCCCCCCGAAGCCCCAGCCCCACCCACCCCCCCCACTCCCCCCACCCCCCCCCCCGCCCCCCCCCCACCATGAAACACCGGCCCCCCCACTCATACGCCCCCCCCGACCCCCCCACCAACCCCCCCCCCCATCCCACCACCCCCCACCCCCCCCCCATCCCCCTGGTATATTTGGCTGCCCCCCCCCCCCGGCCCCCCCCGGTCCCCCCCCCCCCTACCCCCCCCATCCCATCCCCCAGTGTACCCCAACAAATCCCTCCCCCCCCCCCCCCCCCCACAAACCCCCCCAAAGGTCCCCCCCGCCACCTCACCCTATCCCCCACCCCTTGCCCCACCCCCACACGCCCCATGTATCGCCTGTCCACAACGACGCTTTACCCGGCACTACCTACCACACAGCTCTCTCCACCACCAGCACACTACTCACGCCCAACGTACTATACTGGCAGCCCCCAGCCGAAGTGTCCTCTTCTGCCTGTCTCTAATACCCACCCCACCCCAACCTGCCACCCCACTGTAGTCAATAAAACCATATTAGCCCACCCTTGTTCCCACCGCCCAACCCTGACCCCTCCCCCACTCCCCTTAGAGATTCAATCCCACCCGGCCAGTTGCTCTCACTTCCCACCCCCCCCCACGTCCTACCGACCTCTCCCAGCTACTCCCGCCCCCCGACCCGCATACGCAAACCACCCATTTCCCCCCATGATCACCCCCCCCCCCTCACCCCCGCCCGTACCACTCTCCCCACTGAGAATTCCCCCCAAACAACTAATGTGTCAACCACCCACCCCACCCCACCCCTTCACTAACGTACTTTCTCCCACCCCCCGATCCACCTTAACCCCCCACCTTCCCCACCAGGGCTCTCCGCCCCCCCCAACCGCGTTTCCCGTGCCCACCCGACCTGAACCACCCCCGCCCCCCCCTGCCCCGCGTCGCCCCCCCCCCTCCCCCCCACCCCCACTCACCCCCCTGCCCCCCCATCCTGAATCCCCCCACTCCCCGTATTCACTCTACCCGCTCCAACACTACCACCCCCAACCGCCCCCCCCCCCCTCCCACCCAACCCCCACTTGCCTCCCCCCACCCCCCACCATCCCAGCACCCCATACCCATACGCCCCCGAACCTACCCCTTCCCCCAGACCAACCCCCCACACACCAACACCAGCCCTCCCGCCCCTCCCACCCACCGCACCCCCCCTACCCCACCCCGACCCTCCGTCCCGCCCTCCTCCCCCCCCCCCCCCCCCCCCTCTACCACCCCCCCCTCATCCCTCCTACCCGCCACCCTCCACCTACCCCCCCGCCCACCTGCCGTCACCCCCCACCCCCCACCTCCCCTCCCCCCCCCCCACCCTACCCCCCGCCCCCCCCCCCCCTCACAATGTCCCGCGCGACCCCCACCCCCCCCCGACCAACCCCACACCCCCCTCATACCCATCACCCCTGCCGAGCTACACCGCCCCCAACCCCCCCCCCCCCACACCTCCCCCACCCACCACCCCCCCCCCACTCCCCCCCCCACCCCCCCCTCCCCCCCATGCCCCCCCCACCGATTCCCCCCCCTCCCCTCCTCCTAAGCCCTGCCCATGCTACCCTCCTCCCCGAACCCCCACCCGAACGCCACCACCCATACCCCCCCACCCCCCTAACGAATCCCCCCCGCCCCCCCCCCCCCCCCACCACACCCCCCACGCCACACCCCCCGCTCCCCCCCAACCCCCCCCACCCTAACTACCCCCCAAAACCACCACCCCCCACCACCCCACCCCCACCCCCCCCCCCCCCCCCCCCCCCCCCCCCCCCCCCCCCCCCCCCCCCACCCCCCAACCCCCCCCCCCCCCTCCCCCCCCCACCCCCAACCCCGCCCCACCCCCCTCCCCAACCCTCCCCCCCCCCCCCACCCCCCCCCTCCCCCCCCCGCCCCCCCCCCCCCCCCCTCACCCCCCACCCCCCCCCAAACCCACCCTCCCCCTCCCCGCCCCACGTCCCACCCCACCCCCCCCTTCCCCGACCCCCCCCCCCCCCCCTCCCCACTACGGCACCGACCCCATCTTCCCCCCCCCCCCCCCTCAAACCCCCCCCCCCCCCCCGCCCAAAACCCCCCCCCCCAACCCTCCCCACCCCATCCCCCTCCCCACCCTACCCACCCCCCCCCCCCACTCCCCCTCCCCCCCCCCCCCCCCGTCCCCCCCCCCCCCCCTCCCCCAACCCCCCACCATCCCCCCCCCCCCTCATCCCACCCCCCCCCCACCCCCCCCGCCCCCCCTCCCCACCCCCCCCAACCCCCCCCCCCCCCACCACGTTCCACCTACCCACACACCCCCCCCACCCACCTCACGGTTCCCCCCACAGCCCCAACCCCCCCCATGCCAGCCGGGCACCACCCCCAACTCCCCCCCCACCACCCCCACCCCACCAAAACCACTGTCTCCAAACCACCTACCCTCATCCCCACCCCCACCCTCCCCCCTGCCCACCCTGCCCCCCAAATAAATCAAACCACCACCCCTTCCCCCCCCCCCTAACCCTTCCTACCAATACCCCCTCCCCCCCCCCTACTCCCCACCCACCCCCCCCCCCGTCCCCCCCCCCCCCCCCCACGCCCCACACCCCCCGGTAGGATGAGTACGCCGCCCCCCATTCCTCCACCCTCCCCCAGACCCCTGGGCCCACCCCCGATCAGTAACCCCCCCCCCTCCCCCCCCCACCCCCCCCCCCCCAACCAATCTGCCCCCTCCTCCCCCGGCCCCCCCCCCACCCCACACCTACCACCCCCCACACCCCCCCACCCCCTCAACCACTCCCCCACCCCCCGCCACCCCCCACCCACCCCCCCCCCCCCCCCCCCCCCCCCCCCCCCCCCCCCCCCCCCGCCCCCCCCCCCAACCCCCCCCCCCCCCCCCCCCCCCCCCCCCCCCCCCCCCCCCCCCCCCCCCCCCCCCCCCCCCCCCCCCCCCCCCACACCCACCCCCCCCCCCCCCCCCCCCGCACCCCCCCCCCCTCCCACCCCCACCCCCCTATACCCCCCCCCCCCACCCCCCCGACCCCTCCCCCCCCCCCCACCCCCCCCCCCCCCCCGTCCCCCCCCCCCGCCCCCCCCCACCCCTCCCCACCCCCCCCCCCCCCCCCCCACTCCCCCCCCCCCCCCCCCCCCCCACCCACCCCCCACCTCCCCCCCCCCCCCCCCCCCTCACACCCCCCCCCACCCCCCCCACCCCACCCCCCCCCCCCCCCCCCCCCCCCACTCCTCCCCCCACCACCCACCCCCGCTCCCCCCCCTCCACCCCCCCGTCCCCCCGTTCTAACTCCCCTCCCCCCCTCCAATCCCCACCTCCCCCGAGGCCACCCTCGCCCCTCCCGCCCCTCACACCCCCACTCCCCCCCCACCCCCACCTCCTCCTCGCTACGCCCCCAAACCCCCCCCCACACCTCCCCGTCTCCGCTCCCCCGCCACCATGCTACCACGGAAGGTGGGGGGGGCCCTCCTTCGACTCCCCTCTCCCCCCCCCTCTAGCCCCCCCGCCTAACGCCACCAGACCACCCAGGCCACCGAGTGTGCGCCACCGCCCGAGTACCCCCCCCCCCCCCCCCCCCCTCCGAGTCCTCTCCTCTCCCCCCCCCCCCCCTTCCCAGCCTCGAGTCACCCTCACATCAGCCGCCACGCACCGCCCGAGTACGCACCAGCCACCTCATCCCCTCCGTCCCCACACCGCCGAGTTCACGCTCCAGCCACCCCCTCCGCACCAGTACGCACCAGCCGCCCCACCGTCCCGACGTACACCCCGTCGAGCCACACCCTCAGCCGCCACACCTCCACCCCCAGCCGCCCCCCCTCCCGGGTTCTCACCCGCCACTCCGCCCGACCGACCCCGCCCCCCCCCGCCCCCACCCTCCTCCCCCCACGGCCAACTCACCCCTACGCCCCCGCAACCCCCCCTACCGTCCCACCGAGTTCGCCTCGCTCAGCTACCTCACCCCCCCCGTCATTCCCAGCTCCTAGACCAGCTCCAATACCCACCCCGCGCCCCGCCCCCACGCTAACCGGCCTAGTGCCCACCCACCCCCCCCCACAGCCGCCCCTCCCCCGAAGCACACGAGTACCCACCAGCCGTACCCACCCCCCTCCGCCCGAGTACCCACCAGCCGCCCCTCCGCCCGAGTACCCACCAGCCGCACCCTCCTTCCGAGTACCCACCAGCCGCCCCTTACGTCCGAGTACACCCCTGCCGCCCCTCCGTCCGAGTACAAACCCCAGCCGCCCCTCCGTCCGAGTACACCCCCGCCGCCCCTCCGTCCGAGTACACCCCCGCCGCCCCTCGTCCGAGTACACCCCCGCCAGGCCCCCTCCGTCCAAGTACACCCCCGCCGCGCCCCTCCGTCCAAGTACACCCCCGCCGCCCCTCCGTCCAAGTATGTGTGGAAGCAATTGGGCACAGCCTCCCGAACGCTCCATCTGACAGAAAGGGATCCGCCTGTCAGATTTACACCACAATCTCGGGGCAGGAAGCCACCAGGAATGTATGTAACTGGTTGTTTCATTAACCTCTGCAGGAAAACTGAACTGCCAATTAGCATGGCGACTTTATCTTGGCGGTCCATTCCTCCAGAGAAACACGCCGGCCACAAGCCAGGACTTGGCCCCCGATGTACCTCACACACAGGGGTTGTGCCTAAAAAAGAAAAATCACAACACTTAGAATCGGTTCTTTTGATGCACATATTTCTCTCTAACCAAATCACATCTAGTGGAGCCACTACAGCACGTTCCACTGCGTTCTGTGCCGGGACCAGTTCTGTGTTGCAAAGACTCATCCTGCAAATTTAACCACTTGTGGACCGCCAGTCATGTACTGCAGACGGGCAGCCCGCTCAGGCACAGTGACCTACTGTACACCCCTGCCTGCTTCTGGGCTTAGAGGGGCGCATGCATGCCCCCCGTGCTGACAATTGCTGTGATTGTACACAGCAGGAGTCTGTCAGGAAGTCCCAGCCAATGAATCACGCCCGGGACCTGCTGATCAGCTGTGTCCAATCATAGGCCAGAGCCCTGTGTTGACAATCAACATAGAGCTATGTACAGAGGGAACGGTGTTTCTGTTTCATATCCTAGCAAAGCAGGAATAGGAGACAAAGACCGGGAGTAAGAAGCAGCACACATTAATCATTGTTTAGGCACACATTTAACCCCTTGAATACCCAAGATGTTAACCCCTTCCCAGCCCAGTGTCATTAGTACAGTAATTGTGTATAGTATTACTGACCACTGTGTTAGTGTCACTGATGTCAGTGGCAGTTAGTGGCAGACCACCACCCGTGATCCCAACATCCATGCCGCCCATGAGTGCAGTCCATCAGTGCCGCCCACTCACCCGTGCCCCACATCAGTTGCAGACCACCAACCTGTGCCCTACATCAGTGCAGACCACCACCCGTGCCCTACATCAGTGCAGGACAACCACCCGTGCCCCACATCAGTGCAGACCACCACCAGTGCCCCACATCAGTTGCAGACCACCACCCGTGCCCCACATCAGTGCAGACCACCACCCGTGCCCACATCAGTGCAGACCACCACCCGTGCCCCACATCAGTGCAGACCACCACCCGTGCCCTACATCAGTGCAGACCACCACCCGTGCCCCACATCAGTGCAGACCACCACCCGTGCCCTACATCAGTGCACAGGACCTACCCACCCCGTGCCCTACATCAGTGCAGACCACCACCCGTGCCCCACATCAGTGCAGACCACCACCCGTGCCTCCAACATCCATGTCCGCCCATGAGTGCAGTCCATCAGTGACCGCCCCACCCGTGCAACACTACAGACCACCCCGTGCCCCACATCAGTGCAGACCACCACCCGTGCCCTACATCAGTGCAGACCACCACCCGTGCCCCACATCAGTGCAGACCACCACCCGTGCCCCACATCAGTGCAGACCACCACCCGTGCCCCACATCAGTGCAGACCACCACCCGTGCCCAATCATCCATGCCGCCCATCAGTGCAGACCACCAGTGCAGCCCACCACCCGTGCCCCACATCAGTGCAGACCACCACCCGTGCCAGACCACCACCCGTACATCAGTGCAGTGCCCCACATCAGTGCAGCCCACCATCCGTGCCCCACATCAGTGCAGCCCACCATCCGTGCCCCACATCAGTGCAGAACCACCACCCGTGCCCCACATCCACCATCCACCCGTGCCCCACATCAGTGCAGCCCACCATCAGTGCCCCACATCAGTGCAGCCCACCATCCGTGCCCCACATCAGTGCAGCCCACCATCCGTGCCCCACATCAGTGCAGCCCCACCATCAGTGCCCCACATCAGTGCAGCCCACCATCAGTGCCCCACATCAGTGCAGCCCACCATCAGCCCCACATCAGTGCAGCCCAGCATCAGCGCCCCACATCAGTGCAGCCCACCATCAGTGCCGCCTACCATCAGTGCCCCACATCAGTGCAGCCCACCATCAGTGCCCCACATCAGTGCAGCCCACCATCAGTGCCCCACATCAGTGCAGCCCACCATCAGCGCCCCACATCAGTGCAGCCCAGCATCAGCGCCCCACATCAGTGCAGCCCACCATCAGTGCCGCCTACCATCAGTGCCCCACATCAGTGCAGCCCACCATCCGTGCCCCACATCAGTGCAGCCCACCATCAGTGCCCCACATCAGTGCAGCCCAGCATCAGCGCCCCACATCAGTGCAGCCCAGCATCAGCGCCCCACATCAGTGCAGCCCACCATCAGTGCCGCCTACCATCAGTGCCCCACATCAGTGCAGCCCACCATCAGTGCCCCACATCAGTGCCGCCCATTAACACACATCAGTGAAGGAGAACAATGACCGGCTTGTAAAATTTTATAATAGAAACAAAAAAAACTTTTTTCAAATGTTTTTGATTTTGTTTGTTTATAGCACAACCCCCCCCCCCCCCTCCTGGGGAGTACAGACCCCCCCCCCTCCGGGGAGTACAGACCCCCCCCCTCCGGGGAGTACAGACCCCCCCAACAAAGCTGTGAGGAATGCTACACAGGTCACGTGTGTGCGGTGTCACATGACCGCGGTTGTCCTCCGAAGTGTGACCCCCGCTGACAGCTGAACATTGGCCGGGCAGGGAGGGGGAGAAGTGTCTGGCAGGCAGTGACGTCCCGGGAGGGGGGAGGCGCACGGGGTGACTCCGGACCCGCTCCACTGACAGGTCAGTTGCAGAGCAAGCCGCCGATCCCCGCAGGATGGATCGGATGTACGGATTGGGGAGGATGATGGGTCCGAGTCCGATCCATTACGCGGGGATCGTCCGAGGGGGTGACGCCAAATGTTGCCGCACCGGGTGACACCAACCCCAGGGACTCCCCTGCCGGTAGGCAAGTGGTGGAAATAAACATGAAAGGAACCCGCCATTGTATTCTCCGGGGCGGTACAACATGTTCGGGGTTCTAGCAATCAAACCAACAGATGTAAACAAAAAGAACTACAAGTCCCAGCCCGCCATCCACATTACCGGAACACGGACATCCCATACTGGCATAGAATGCCTGCCACACATCATCCGGGAACATTCCCTGTCACGGTTTTCCCGCCATCACACACAGCGGCCCCCTCACCTCTCCTCCGGGCTCCCCGGCCAGGTTGTCCTTCATACTTCCCGCCAATGTTTCTCTTCCCGCCGAAGCCATACTGAACACAGCTCTGCACGTACACGGGGCTGAGACGGAGAGGCGCATGCGCAGACAGGACTGGACGGCTCGCCGTCAAAAACAAAATGCAAGGCTTAGAGGCTGGAGGGGGAACTGCAACTAGAATGAGCTCCTGGGCGCACAGCAGGTACAGCGGGGTTGCGGTTTTTGGCTGCCTATGCATTCCAGCTGCCTGGATCCGGGGGTGTCCGACCGTCTGGCCTTCCATCGGCAGAAGACAAATTGTTTTGGGCTTACACATAAAAAGACCAAAAAACATTCGCAATTTTGAGTCGCGGCAGAAATTATCACCCTCAGCCCATAATCTCGAGTCGCACCTCAATCCCTGCAAAACGCACCACGCATGCTTCATACCTCCCAACTGTCACTGATTCCGAACAAGTCCCGCTGTCCTCATTTGTCCTCCTGCCCCTCTGTTCTCCTTCCCCTCTGTCCCCGCCGTCCTCCTGCCCCTGTCCCCTTGCAGCTCTACCCCCTGCCCCTCTACCCCCCTGCCCCTCTTCCCATCTGCCCCTCTGTCCTCCTACCCCTCTGTTCCTCTGCCCCCTCTGTTCTCCTTCCCTTCTGTCCCCGCCGTCCTCCTGCCCATCTGTTCCTCTGTCCTCCTGCCCATCTGTTCCTCTGTCCTCCTGCCCCTCTGTTCCTCTGCCCCTCTGTCCCCCTGCAATCCTGCCCCTCTGACCCTCTGTCCTCCTGCCCCTCTGTTCCTCTGCCTCTCTGTCCCCCTGCCCCTCTGCCCCCCTGCCCCTCTGTTCTCCTTCCCCTCTGTCCCCGCCGTCCTCCTGCCCCTCTGTTCCCTTGCAGCTCTACCCCCCCCCTGCCCCTCTACCCCTGTCCCCCTGCCCCTCTGTCCTCCTGCCCTCTGTTCCTCTGCCCCTCTGTTCTCCTTCCCTTCTGTCCCCGCCGTCCTCCTGCCCATCTGTTCCTCTGTCCTCCTGCCCATCTGTTCCTCTGTCCTCCTGCCCCTCTGTTCCTCTGCCCCTCTGTCCCCCTGCAATCCTGCCCCTCTGACCCTCTGTCCTCCTGCCCCTCTGTTCCTCTGCCCCTCTGTCCCCCTGCAATTCTGACCCTCTGTCCTCCTGCCCCTCTGTTCCTCTGCCTCTCTGTCCCCCTGCCCCTCTGTCCCCCTGCCCCTCTGTTCTCCTTCCCCTCTGTCCCCGCCGTCCTCCTGCCCCTCTGTTCCCTTGCAGCTCTACCCCCCTGCCCCTCTACCCCTGTCCCCCTGCCCCTCTGTCCTCCTGCCCTCTGTTCCTCTGCCCCTCTGTTCTCCTGCCCCTCTGTTCTCCTGCCCCCTCTGTTCTCCTGCCCCTCTGTCCCCGCCGTCCCCCTGCCCCTCTGTCCCCCTGCCCCTCTGTTCTCCTTCCCCTCTGTCCCCGCCGTCCTCCTGCCCCTCTGTTCCCTTGCAGCTCTACCCCCCTGCCCCTCTACCCCCGTCCCCCTGCCCCTCTGTCCTCCTGCCCCTCTGTTCCTCTGTCCCCGCCGTCCCCCCCCTGCCCCTCTGTCCTCCTGCCCCTCTGTTCCTCTGCCCCCTCTGTTCTCCTTCCCCTCTGTCCCCGCCATCCTCCTGCCCCTCTGTTCCTCTGCCCCTCTGTCCCCCTGCCCCTCTGTCCTCCTGCCCCTCTGTTCCTCTGCCCCTCTGTCCCCCTGCCCCTCTGTCCTCCTGCCCCTCTGTTCCTCTGTCCCCCTGCCCCTCTGTTCCTCTGTCCCCCTGACCCTCTGTCTCCCTGCCCCTCTGTCCTCCTGCCCCTCTCTCCCCCTGACCTACTGTCCCCCTGGCCCTCCATCTCTCTGTCCTTCCGTTCTTCTGTCTCCCTGCTCCTCTGCCACTCTGTTCCTCTGTCCTCCTGCCCCTCTGTCCTCCTGCCCCTCTGTCCCCTGCCCCTCTGTCCTCCTGCCCCTCTGTCCTCCTGCCCCTCTGTCCCCCTGCCCCTCTGTCCTCCTGCCCCTCTGTCCTCCTGCCCCTCTGTCCTCCTGCCCCTCTGTCCCCCTGCCCCTCTGTCCTCCTGCCCCTCTGTCCTCCTGCCCCTCTGTCCCCCTGCCCCTCTGTCCCCCTGCCCCTCTGTCCTCCTGCCCCTCTGTCCCCCTGCCCCTCTGTCCTCCTGCCCCTCTGTCCCCCTGCCCCTCTGCCCTCCTGCCCCTCTCTCCCCCTGCCCTACTGTCCCCCTGGCCCTCCATCTCTCTGTCCTTCCATCCCTCTGTCCCCCTGTCCCTCTGTCTCCCTGCTCCTCTGTCCTCATTTGTCCCTCATTCTGGTCTGATCTCTGTAGTTGTATATAAAATGTACTATTTATCAAAAAGTGGCAGAAATTGTCACCCTCAGCCCATAATCCCGAGTTCCACCGCAGTTGCGGAAAAACGCACCACACATGCTTCATAACTGTCACTGATTCCGAACAAGGCCTCTGTCCTCATTTGTCCCTCTGTCCTCCTGCCCCTCTGTTCTCTTGCCCCTCTGTCCCCCTGTCCTTCTGTTCCCCTGCCCCTCTGTCCTCCTGCCCCTCTGTTTCCCTGTTTCTCTGTCCTCCTGCCCCCTCTGCCCTACTGCCTCACTGTTCTCCTGCCCCTCTGTCCTCCTGCCCCCTGCCCCTCTGTTCCCCTGTCCCTCTGCCCCTCAGTCCCCCTGTCACTCTGTCCCCCTGTACGATTTATCAAAAAGTGTTTTCCAGTGCCAAATCTTTCATCCATCTTTTATTTGGAGGGGAGATTTGTGCTAGGGGGGGGAATTTAGGGGAGGTTGTGCTATGAGGGGTGATTTGTGTTAGGAGGGGGGATTGGGAGGAGTTGTACTAGGAGAGGGGATTGGGAGGAGTTGTACTAGGAGGGGGGATTGGGAGGGGTTGTGCTAGGAGAGGGGATTGGGAGGGGTTGTGCTAGGAGAGGGGATTTGTGTTAGGAGGGGGGATTGGTAGGAGTTGTACTAGGAGGGGGGATTTGTGTTAGGAGGGGGGATTGGGAGGGGTTGTGCTAGGAGGGGGGATTTTGGGGGAGGTTTTGTACTATGAATGGTGATTTGGGGGGGGGGGTTGTGCTAGGAGGGGGATTGGAGGAGAGGATTTGTTCTAGGGTGAAACATTTGAGGGTAAAGAGCATGTGTGCTAGGAGGGGTGAAGTAGAACTATAGGGGAATGTTTTTTTTCTTGGTGGTGGTGGGGATTTGTGCTAATAAGGGTGATTAGGGGGGATTTGTGCTTGGAGGGGGGATTGAAGGGAGGTTGTGCTAGGAGGGGTGATTTTTTTTTTTTTGGGGGGGGGGAATTTGTGCTGGAAGAGGGGATTGGTGGGAATTTGTGCTGGGAGAGGGGATTGGTGGGAATTTGTGCTGGGAGAAGGGATTGGTGGGAATTTGTGCTGGGAGAAGGGATTGGTGGGAATTTGTGCTGGGAGAGGGGATTGGTGGGAATTTGTGCTGGGAGAGGGGATTGGTGGGAATTTGTGCTGGGAGAAGGGATTGGTGGGAATTTGTGCTGGGAGAAGGGATTGGTGGGAATTTGTGCTGGGAGAAGGGATTGGTGGGAATTTGTGCTGGGAGAGGGGATTGGTGGGAATTTGTGCTGGGAGAGGGGATTGGTGGGAATTTGTGCTGGGAGAAGGGATTGGTGGGAATTTGTGCTGGGAGAAGGGATTGGTGGGAATTTGTGCTGGGAAAAGGGATTGGTGGGAATTTGTGCTGGGAGAAGGGATTGGTGGGAATTTGTGCTGGAAGAGGGGATTGGTGGGAATTTGTGCTAGCAGGGGAGATTTGTTGTTGGAGGGGGGATTGGGAGGGAATTTGTGATAGGAAGGAGGAATGCTTGCCGGGGGGGGGGGATCGGGAGGGGTTGTGCTAAGAGGGGGGGGGGATTTGTGCTATGAGGGGGGATTGGGAGGGGTTGACTCCATAGACCTGCATAGTTGCCAACTCTCATGAATTGCCCAGGACACTCGCAGATTTTTGAATGCTGTCCTGAGAGGTCCTTGTCCCGGGCAGCATCCCAAAAATCAAAGCAGGTCACAGACAGTGAAGTGCTGCAGGTAGCTCCTGCACCTACGTCCAAATAACAGACACATGGGGCAAGCTGCGACTGTGTGCTCCGTCTGCACTGCCTAGAGGAGTTTGCTTTCATGCTGACACTACTCTTCGGGGGTTCTGAAACAACCCCCCCTCCCCCAAGTCTCCCCCACCAGCGATCCTTACTGATATCTCTACACTCCATGTATGCAGAGGGAGGAAAGAAGATTTCTGCCTCCCCCCGCCATGCTCTGTAAACTCTGGATGGCTTCAGCTGGAGGGGTGAGTGTGGAGGGTGGCAGAAATGAAGCTGCTGACAGCATTGGGGGGGGGGGGGCGAATGTTCCAGGAGCCGGCTGGACTTTGCAAGCAGAGAGTAGGCCGGGATGGCTGTGCCCCAGGGGCAGACTGACCATTTGGGAAACTCGGGCACTGCGGACCCGGGGTCAGTAGGGGCCCCATGAGATGCCCCTGGTACCTTTTTCATAGGCTTTTTTGAGTTTGGGCAAGGATACAGGGGCCCCATGATCCCCTATTGCCCGGGGGCCCCATGAGTTGTCAGTCCACCCCTGCTGTGCCCCCATGCAGCCGGCTTCACTTGCAGTATGTGGGTGTCACTGCAGCTCGGGGTCAGTGAATGCGTCTCTCCCTCCCATTACAGACATATCTGCCCAGCTATTTCCGTCCATCACCTCCAAGGGCTCTTTCACATGGGGGCTGCTGAGCCGCAGTTTTACCGCCACCCCTGGCTGCATGCCCAATCATGCTTTACTCTGCAGCTGCTGCATGTTGAAGACTGCAGAGTCTGACAGCCGGCATTGCTGGTCAAACTCTCCCATGGAGAAGAATAGGGCTGCTCTGTACGTGTGACACAAATGCCTCGCTCACAGTCGCAGCGCAGTCCCGCAATGTGACACTGACATTCAGCAAAAATAAAAGTAAAAAAAAAAACAGGCATCAGGTGGTGGTGGTGGCACCCGCCTGAAAGCATCTCAGCTGCTGCTATACCGCCCTCTGAAAAGTGATCACAGGTCGCTTTTCAGTGAGTGGCAAACATTACCACAGATGTGAAAGAGATACAATCTGACATACAGGAGAAACTCGAAAAATGAGAATATGGTGCAAAAGTTCATTTATTTCAGTTCAGCAACTTAAAAGGTGAAACTAATATATGAGACTCATTACATGCAAAGCAAGATAGTTCAAGCCGTGATTTGTCATCATTTTGATGATTATGGCTTACAGCTCATGAAAACCCCAAATCCACAATCTCAGAAAATGAGAATATACATGCAATCAATAAAACACGGATTGTACATAGAACAATATCGGACCTCTGAAAAGTAGAAGCTGCATATGTACTC